CAATGTTTACCTTTTTAAGTGAGTTTCAGCAGCCCCTACCAGAATGTCAGCTATTTCATTTTCGAGAGAAAGAACTTTCAAGAGCTGTATTTTTATTTCATGAATTGGATGAACACAACCTAATCGTTATTTGAATCGACTCAGTTTTCTATTTGAAAGACTCTGATAAAACTGAGATTATTATTGAGAATTTTGTTTTCCACTAATGGACCCAATACATTAATAGCTTTCAATTCCGTCTTGGTACACGCACAAAGAACTTGAAATTAAAAATGTAAACTGTGGAATTTTACTTCCTTTTTAACTTGGATGCCTTTTATTTCTTGCCTAATTACTCTAGGTAGGACTTGCAGTATTACACTGAACAGAAGTGGCAAGTGTGAACATCTTTGTATTGCTGCTGATCTTAGAGGAAAAACTTTCTTTTTTTTTTTTTTTTTTACCATTGAGTGTGATGTTAGCTGTAAGCTTGTCATATATGGTGTTATTATGTTGAGATATGCTTCTTCTATACCTAGTTTGTAGAGTGTTTTTATCATGAAGGAGTGTCGAATTTTGTCAAATGCTTTTCCTCCATCTCTTAAGATGATCATGTGATTTTTAGCCTTCATTCTGTTAATGCGATGTATCCCTTTGATCTGCTTATGTTGAACCATCCTTGCATCCTAGGTCTGAATCCATTAGATTGTGGTGTGTAACCCTATTAATGTGCTGTTGAATATGGTTCGCTAGTGTTTTATTGAGGATTTTTGTATCTATGTTCATCAGCGATATTGACCTATCCTTTTCTGTTCTTTATAGTGTCTTTGTCTGACTTTATTGGGGTAACACTGGCCTCATAAAGTGAGTTTGGAAGTGTTCCCCCCTCTTCTAAGTTTTGGGAAGTTCGAGAAGCATTGGTGTTAATTCTTTAAATTTACTAGTGGAGCCAAATGGTTCCACGCTTTTTTGTTCCTGTTGTTGGGAGGTTTTTGATTACTTGTTTAAATCTCCTCACTTGTGTCTACGGCCATGCCACCCTGAACAAGCCTGATCCCGTCTGATCTCGCAAGCTAAGCAGCGTCGGGCCTGGTTAGTACTTGGATAGGAGACCACCTAGGAAGACTAGGTGTTGTAGGCGTAAAAAATAAAAAATAAGGGATTGTAAGGTGACAAGGTCCTTGCAATCTGTGAAGTCAACCAAAGGTTGCCTCACCTGAAAAAATAAAATAAATCTCCTCACTTATTATTGGTCTGTTCATATTTTCCATTTCTTCATGATCCAGTCTCGGTAGATCGTATGGTTCTAGGAATTAACCATTTGTTCCTAGGTAATCTAATTTGTTGGCATATAATTGTTAATGGCAGTCTTTTACCCTTTTTATTTCTGTGGCAACATTTTAATGTATCTTTGTTCATTTTAGATTTTATTTGGTCTTCTCTCTTTTTTCTTAATTAATCTAGCTAAGGGTATTTGACCAAAATGCAAGGTCATGTTCTGTTGAGAGGGATGAATATGATTCACTTTATACAGATATACATTAGTGTCATCTTTGGGTATAGTCTTTTTAAAGTAACGCCTAACTTTTGAAGTAGATGCTGATGCCTCTGCAGAAGATTTAAGCCTAGGTTTTTTATGTGGTTAGTGATATGATCATAGCCCCCACGATAAAGAGTAATAACATAGTCATTGTCAACTTTCGTGAAAAATGAAAACTTAGTACTTAATTTTTCATTATCATACACTTTATTTTCTTGAGCTCATTATGCCAAAAGTTTAAGTAATAAAACAAATAAGTAGGTGTAGATTTACACCACATAAAAAAATGATGGCATACTGTAACAGGACGTTCAGATCCCTCTCTGGCACGACGGCTCAGCCTCTAGTTCCTATATACTTTTCACCTGTGCTATAATTTCTCATTCTCCCCACTATTCTCACCAGCTGGTGGCCTGAAGGCTTCACGCAAATCTTACGCCACAGCATGAGCCTTGCACTATTGGTGGGTAGAGCTGGCAGGAATTGTTTACTTCTCTACTACCATCCAAGGCTGGAAGGAGACAGGGATTCTGAGCCACTTACTAATGAGTGCACTCTGTTTTTGCAGTAAGTTCCCTGGCTACTGTCCTTCGAAAAGAGGTATTAGTCCTGCTAGTTTTAGAAACTATCGGGGAAAGCCAGCTGGGTTTTTAGAGATGCATCTCATATACTACTAAAGAAGACGTTGGCAGAAGTTGGACTACAAAGTGAAAATTTTTATTGTTTCATTTCTGCCTCTTTTAAGACCTCTATTAGTTTAATATTTCTTTAATTTTTTAAAATTTTACCATGACAAGAACACTTAACATGAGATCTGCCCTCTTAACACATTTTTAAGTGTACAATACAGTATTGTTGACCAGAGGCATAATTTGAAGAGCAGATCTCTAGAGCTTATTTATCTTGCTTAACCGAAACTTTATACACGAAGATTACTTTCTGTGTGTGTTTTACAATTTGGATTTGGAGGTTCAGCTTGAACCAGGAATCTCTCTTCTCTCCACGGCCACCCCTCCCTGTCTGGCAGTTTTACAGCATTGAGGTCACCTTCTCCTGGTCCTCCGGTTTCCCACTCCAGAGCCAGAATCCTGCCTTGGACCCATGTGGCTGGTGTTGCAGATACTTTGTTTCTGTGACTGTGGACCTTTCTAATGGATGCATTTTGGGTAACCATTTGGCTCCTCGTTTTATGTAGCTTTTCTTCAAAATATCTCCTTTTAAAACTGTCACCCCATTTCTAACCCTGACACATGACTAAAATTTTAATGTTTTGTTTCGATTTGCTGTTACGGCCCGTATAAATGTGACCTTGGCTTAAGTGGCTCCACCAAAAAGGACATATCACACAATGCCATTGCTATCTGACATGATGCAATAGTTTCCGTCTTCTTCCCTTCTTGTCTGTAGGAGTTGCTGTTGGTGCTTCAGCCAGCTCTCCCCAGCAATTGCTGTTTTTAAGCACCGAGAAAACTTTATCTTAGTTTGTGTTTCCCCAGAGGCAGACTTTGAGACAAAGATGTGAATGAAAGTATTTTTTAGCTTTTTGAAAAATTTAGGGAATGCAGGCAGGGAAGTGTGGATATTGATATACTCAGGGGAGTGTAATAAATAAAGTGTACATGAAGCCAGTTACCACTGAAGCTTAATCCTGAGGGGCATCTCTGGCAAATGGTGTAAAACACGCAGTTATTACACCTAGGGGCACCAGAGCTTGGGCATATCCATGCCGGCTTCCATCAGTCATTGGCCGAGGCTTGTTCTCCGTCTCCACCCAGCCCTTCCAGCCTGCCGTGTGGTGAGCAGAGTGGTTTTCCGTGTTTCTAGAAGAATCCCACCAGCATGGAGATCCAGATTGCTATATTGTGACTTACAAGAAATGTATATTTGGTCATTCAGGTGACCAAACTACATTCCTCATATGTATTCTTTGTCTTTGTCAGTCCGTGTTCCTGGCTCACAATGCCCCAAGCCCTGGGCCTTTCCTGTGATGAGTGATAAAGGTATCTTTTGTTAGGTTAATGAGATGGCCTTTGGAAAGGCCTCCATGGAGGGGGCTGGCTGCTTAGAGAACCACCCAGGTAGTTAGAGAGTTGGAACTTTCAGTCCCCCTTCCCTCCTTTCCCTTTTCTGGAGGTTGAGTCAATCAGCATGGCCAGTGATTTAATCGATCATGTCTGTAATAAAGGCTCCATAGAAACCCATGAGGACCGGGTTCCGAGAGCTTCCGGACAGGTGGGAGACTGGCCCCTCTGGTGACGGGCTGGAGTCCCTGCCCCCCTCCCCACATACCTTGCCCCATGCATCTCTTCCCCTGGATGGTCATCCGTATCCTTTACTGTATCCTTTTAAAATAAATCGGGAGACGGAAGCAAACTGTTTGCCTGAGTTCTGTGAGCTACTCTAGCAAATTAATCGAATCCGGAGGGACGAGGGGCAGCCCTGGGAATCTCTGACTTATAGCCAGTTGGTCAGAAGCCCAAGTGGCAACCTGGACTTACCACTGGCATCTGAAGTGGAGAGGGGAAGTCTTGTGGGTCTGATCCCTGAATCTGTAGGATCTGATGCTACCTCTGGGTACATAGTATCAGAATCAAGCTGAATAACACCCAGCTGGTGTTACGGAGAATTACTTGCTTGGTGTGAGGGAAAAAGCCGCGCACATTCGCTAAACAGAAGTGTTCTGTGTGAGCGTGGCAGCGGGGTAAAACTCAAGGTGACACAGAAGAAAAGCACGGTAGCGAAGACCTGGGTTTTTACCTCCATGGATGAAAATCCGAGTTTTTCTAAAACACATCGATAATGACGGGTGGAGTTGTTCACAACACACAGAAATGGTAGGGTCCGAGGAATATGGACAAGGCACTGCCAGGAACCCTGGGGCTTCTTGCCGCAGACACCTGCGACTCCACACTTAGAGGATCTCTCGGGATGCAGGGGCAGAGTGTGTCTGGGAGCTGACCCTCTGGGAAGCAGCAGTCGATCAGTAATTAGGGGAGCCGATGGAAAAATGCCCCAACTCTTTGTCATGTATTCTGGGGACCTCAGACTCTGTCCGTGACTGCTGTATGCCGCTGACTCCCATTCCGGGGACCTGAGGGGTGCCTGGAGGGACAGTGGGAGATAGAAGGCCAAGGAGTAGGATCCTCGGGTGCCGGTCCAGTTCTGGCAGCTCATTTGCTACGAGTATTAGGGCCACCGCTTTCTCTGTCTGTGAGAATGACCCACGCTTCTCTATTGTTCGTTCTCTCCACTTCACGGGCAGTGAGAACCAGTCAATTCTCTTTGGCAAAGTTTCTTTGAAAGAACAAAGTTCTAGCAATTCTGGGTACTCTAGGGCTCCTCTGCGAGCAGTTTTGAAGGGAAGACACAACAGAACACAGAGAAGGCGGTGAGTTTATTTTATAGACTGCGACACAGCCCCCAGCCAAGTTCCCTAGAGGAAACCATCTCGGAAGGAGTGGGGAGGAGACAAGGCCTCGGACGAGCTCAGTATACCCACAGGGTGTTCAAGACACGAAAGCGGTTTGCTTCGATGGGTATCACTGCCTTGTTGTTGGGGCAGATGTTTAGTTCACGAACGACATCAACCACCGTGGCTATTGTTACAGTGTCTGAAAGAGACAAGGACAAAGATCGTCACCCATAGCACTCGGACCCCTGTGTCCTAACTTTTCTACTAGTGTCAGACATCGCCACACTGGGACTCAGTTTCCCCAAATCGTTTGCAAACGTGTCTCCCTCATTAGCTTTTCTCACACAGCCCCGCACCTTTTGAACCTGGGCGCGGCCTCCATCTGCTCTTCCCCTGCCTCCTTCCCTCCTTCCCCTCCATCCTTCCGCCCCCCACTTCCGCTCCGGATCTGGGGCCACGTTTCTGTGCAGCTTCCCCGCCCTGGGGGGTCACTCTTCCCGTGGATGACTCCTCTACTTACTGTTGGGCTGAAAGTCCCAGTAGAAGGTTCTTGGATAATCTGAACAGAGGCAGGAGGTGAATTTATAGTTAAAAGGACCATCGACTGGACGGCTGCTTGCCAGGTAAGACTTAATCTGGGAGGAGAAGGTGGAGAGAGAGAACGCAGAGTTAGTCGGGGGGCGGGGTAGGGAGACAGAGAAGAGAGGGCCGAGGAGGAGGAGGACAGTGGCGCCCTCAGAGGGCGAAGAGCA